CATTCACGATTATTATCAACTGGCTAGGAGCATGAATCTATGATAATGCTCAGATGTGATCAGCAAAGTCGGAGCCTTTTGAGAAACACGGTCAGTACATGCTCCTGATCAAAGTAAGAACTAGAAAAATACAACTGCAATCATCTTTACATCATGAACTTCAAGGACTCCATGCGTAACCTTTCAGAAGACATGTTGAGGTAGTTAGAACAATCAAAGTTTCCTTCAGCGTACATGCAACACCCTGGACTCCAAATCATCTAGCAAGTAGAAACTTCATTTCACACTCTTCTACTCGCACCTCCTGTTTTATCTTCAAATCAGTCTAGGCCTCCAGACTCCATGGAACCATGTCAAGTTATGTGCTGCTCTGAATTGGTGGAGGTTAGAGGCACAACAAATCACAGAACATTTCTGCGGGACAATTTACTACAACAACAATACGGCAAAATATTTCCCGCAGTAGGTTCTTTTGATGCCATCTTACTACAACAAATGTGGCAAAGGTATCATGTTATCATCTCCGAGAATCAGTTTAGCTTGACCTCACAAAAGCTCGGCATCTTCAGGGTCTCCATCTGCATCTTCAACCTCATTCTCTTCATCTTCCTCAGGTGCATCAGGGTCCATTCCCTGTAAGAAGTCAATAATCTAGTTAATGCATGCAAAAATTTCGTAAAACCTACACCAGTTAAAACCCCAACCTGTAACCAGTTTGCTTGCTCCACTTTCTTCCTTCAATTCTATGCTTCCATTTAACAATCATATAAGCATATTTATTAATTTTTTTAAGGGATAATATCAAAAAATACCCTTGCGCTTTGCAGTTCTGTTAAATTACACCTTACATTTTTAATTGTATCAATATGCACTTTAAACTATCACAATATATTAAATTAACTCCTGTTAAAAATCTGTTAAAATTAACAAAACTCTATTCTTTTACAAATTAAATAAAAATATTATAAATAAAAAAGGAGAGAAAAATGTGAGGAAAATAAGAGAAATGAGTATATTGTTTTTTAATTTCAATAATATTTTTATTTAATGCGTAAAAAACTAGAGTATTGTTAATTTTCACGGAATTTTTTAACAAGAGGTGCAATTTAATATTTTTTTAATAGTTTAAGATGCACAATGACATAATTAAAATTATATGGTGCAAATTGAGATGAATATAGAAATAGATGGGGTTTTTTTTTCATATTATGCATTTTCTTATACATATTTACTTTAAAGGATATTTCTGAAAATTCTGAGCAAAAAGCACAAGGTGGAACTGGGAAAAAAAATGAACTTGCTGGTGATGAAGGTATAAAAAGCAGGAAGGACAAACCTTCATCTGCTTTTCCAAGCGATCTAACCCCTTTTTAGCAGCTTCATTCTGTGGATTTATTCTGTAAGACATAATGAGCACAAAGGTGAAGAAATTAAGGCGGCATGAAATATTGATAACAGCACATCACAGCTTTGCAAAAGCTACGAGAAAACATTAAACTAGAGCGAAAATAATAGACCTAAGCAAAGAAACCTAGAGCAGATTTTGAATATAGTATCTAACCTCAATGCAGCTTGATAATGGGATAAAGCATCTTGTAGCAAATTTGTGGCAGCAAACACTTGCGCCAACTTGACATGAAGGGAGTCATCCGCCCAATCTTTGAGATATCGCTCAAGCAGAGACACAGCATCTCCATTCCGGCCCTCAATGACATGGAGTTCAGCTAAAGCTAAAGCAGCTCCAAGGTATCCAGGTTCCAGCCTGAGTGCTGATTCGTAGAACTTCTTGGCCTGTAGTAAATTCAGTTAAAAGCATCCTTTTCTTATCTAATCAACCGAAAACTAGCGAGCCAATTATTTTTAAGGCAAGTTTAGGGTCATGCTAAAACTAGCTGTTATTTACCTTTTCTCTCCCACCAGAATTACTAGCATGTACGTCCCCAACTAATTTTAGAGCCTTTGCAGACTGAGGCATTGCCTTCATTGCCTCCCTAGCAGCACATAAAGCCTCTTTGACTTTTCCAAATGCCAAATAAGAATGAACTAACCCTGAGATTGTAAATTAGGATCATAATTATCAGATACTTATATTTTCCAAAAAAGTATTGGATAAATACATTTCTTCTTTTTTGTTAAAAATATGCACACCAGTAGACAAAGAATAAATTATGATCTGAAGTAGAAAATATTAGTAACTCATCTTTTCCTTACAAATGATACCTTGATATGAACGAAGATCAGGTCTCAATTCTTGAGCTGCCCTGAAAGCAACAACAGCAGCTTCTGGCCGCTTTGTAGATAAAAGCAGGTTACCCTAACCATAACGAAAATTGAAGTGATAATTGAATACCAGATAAACGAATGTTCTCGAAATAACAAAAAAAAAGGAGTATTTGATAAGAATAATATCCATTCGCCCAGGAATAAAAGCTGTTCAATACCTTCATAATGTAACCTGGTATGTGCCTCTCATCTATCCGGATGCTCTTAACGCATAATGGATAAGTCAGGTACACAAATATGCATGAAAGAGGGAAAAAGAACAGATGACTCGAGATCAACTAGCTAACCTTCTCAGCATAAGATAATGCTCCTCTTGCATCTTTTCTTTCCCACAGCACAGACAAAGCTACAAAGACTTCTGGCCTTGTAGGATCAATATTTAATAAATCGTGAACTAACTTGTTAAGCTTGGAATAATCAGACTTCATCTCTAGAAGCATTGCATACTCATCCATATAAGTTACAACATAAGGATCAATTGCTCGAACCTGCAAAAGGACATAGACTTTAAATATGCTAGCATATCTAGCTAGATGCATTCAAAACTTAATTTTAACAGTCATAAAGTCCTTATTACCTTCTCAAAATTCATGATGGCTTCATCATTCTTTCCAATAATGGCTTCAACCTTCCACATACATTAGCATGCATTAGTCAATCAGAATCACAAATGAAACAGATCTAATTTCACTACTCGAAAAAACAAACTAATTGTCAATTGTATAAACTATACAGTCAGATACCTTATCCTCAATGTTCAAGTCCTTATTTTCCCCATTCTTAATGCCTTTTTTTCCTTTTCGGTTTTTGCTCCTGTATAACTGAGTCTCTGATTAAGTAAAAGCCATGAGGAGGGTTGAAGAGCATCAATATGCATCATCCTTGTTAGCTTCTTATCATGGATTTTCACTCTCTTGAGGTTAGCATCAACTTTTTCTCTACAGTAGCACGTATTTACCTTAATCCAAATGTCTTTTTTCGCAATTTCTTTTGGTAGAATAAGTTTGGAAAAATGTCAGTGAGTGAAAGATTATTGAAGGCACCAAAGCTTAAATTGGATTTCACCCATTTCAGCCCATCCAATATACATCATCTTTGTTAGCTTCTCGTTATCATGCATCAGTCGGTAATGTTCACCCTTTTCAAGTTAAAATCATTTTTTTTTTCTCTACAGCACAACATGTTTGCCTTACTCCAGATGCTTTTTCCTTAGTTTCTTTTGATAGAATAAATTTGAAAAAAGAAAAAAATTAGCGAGTGAAAGATAAATGAAGGTGCCAAATCATCAATTTCATTTCACACATTTCATCTAACAAGTATTGGGGTTATGTTACTTCCCAATGAATAACCCATCACAACTAAGAATAATTATTGTTAATATGTTCGCCCTTTTGAAGTTAGCATCATTTTTTTTTCTCTACAGCACCACATTTTTGCCTTACTCCAGATGCTTTTTCCTTAGTTTCTTTTGATAGAACAAACTTAAAAAAAGAAAAAAGTTAGTGAGTGAAAGATAAATGAAGGTGCCAAATCATCAATTCGATTTCGCACATTTCAGCTAACAAGTATTGGGGTTATGTTACTTCCCAATGAATAACCCATCACAACTAAGAATGATTATTATAAGGTCAATTTGGTACAATTTCCATTCCATTCCTAACCAATTCCTATGAGAATCCTATAATCCAGGAATTCAAGGAGAGAATGAGGCTAGATGCACGTAAAATTAATATGGTAATTATACATATGATGACTACCATACAAAACTTTTTAGAAATTAGCTAGGAATGGGATGCTAAGTGAACCAAAATAGCCATAAGAGAAAGGCAAGATACAAATATCATCAGCATTCATTCTAAAATGTTACACATACATGTAGCCAAATTAAAAACAGGTAATGAACCATTAACGTTTCAGGCATATCTTGTGAACTCTATCACATTTGCCATGCAAAATCTACACAAAGAAATCATCACAAAGAGTATTCCTAACCTTTGCAATTTCAAGTAATAGATGTACATTATTAGGAAAACGTTGTAAAAGTTCCAGAAAGAGTTCCAAACCACCTGCAAGAAGAATTAACACTCAAACAATAAAAAAATAAATTAACACAAATCATGACTAGACAGGAGTATATATATCAAGCAAAACATTGGTATTAACAAGTTCTGTGGATGATGCATCCACAACCAGAAAGCTAGAAAATCAATAAACAAATACAAATGTTGAAACATATAGTCGAGATAATGTATTTCACGATTCTTTCTATGCCTTACTTCACAAAAGCAGTAGCTGATAATTCCACAACCCTTTTATGTCACCAATTCTCTCCACTTTTTAAATTACCCTCAGGTCAGAATAGCAGCGAACTACCTATGCCAATATACATATGCATGCTGCATGCTGCATGCAACATGGACATAAATAAATTTATTCAAGATTTCTGAACAAATAAAAGAATATTTACCTTTGTAATCATTGGAAGCAATACAACATTGAGCCTCAACATAGCGCTGCAGAAATTAATCAGATACTTAAATTGTGGAGTGAAGTTTCTAAGCAATACCACAAGCGTTGATATGAAAATAGCTCAGCTCAAGAAAAACATATAACTGGTAAAATATCACATTTTAGACTTAAATCTCCAGTCGTGCTCAACATTTTCAAAACTAAAAAACATATGCATATATCGCCTTTCCAGGTTAAGCAGTCAGGCATCCATGTTGCATGCACTCGTAAGGTTTGAGCCTGTGTGCTATCGACATTATTTTTATTTTTATTATTATTATTATTATTATTATTGTTATTGTTATTGTTATTATTATTATTATTATATTTCAAAAAAAAATTATTATTATTATTATCATCATCATTATCATCATTATTATCGTTATTATTGTTGTTGTTGTTGTTATTATTACTACTACTACTATTATTATTATTATTATTATTTGAAGAGTAGCATAAACATTATTTAACACTTTCTAAAATCAATCTAAGGTGATAAGATACACTAACCAGCCGATTTATAGAAACTTCTTCACCTTTAAGAACTGAACAAAGTCATTATTATCCATACATCCTCAGGCAGCTTTCAACCACGTAGGCAAAGCACGCTTATTATAATGTGATAGAATCCAAACATGCCTACTGTTAATGATTTTTTCTTTAGGCAAAGAAAGAGGGCTGCACATAAAAAAAAAAAAAACCCATCTATCAATCTTGTACTTACTTGCAGCCAACGATTTGAGTCAACATGATCAAATGGAGCCTTTGCACTTCTATTTGGAGCCTGGATTTATAGAGCAAGGAAAAAAAAAGATATGAAAGGTGTTTATCAATGATCCAAACAGAAGTCATTAAATTGACGACATATTATATTAAAGAGAAATAGAGATGACGAATCTTCACCATATTCAACCTTCTAGTTTTATTAAAATGTTGCAGAGCAGGAATTTGACACCAGATCTATGAAAGCTTGTCACTCATTTTAACACGAAATTTTAAGAGATAATCAAGCTATAAGACCTTTTAAATTTGAAAGGGTATCAGAAGTTAAAATGCATGTCTACTAACTGATCAACTAGATAACAATAGTCAACCCTTCCATAACAAACCTGAGCAAATAATGAAATAATATCTTTGGCACTAGCTCCCAACTCTGCCAAAGCTGTGATAGCCTCAAGTACATAAGGACAATGCCTATAAAAGGGGGAAAAAAGTGGAAGAAGAAGAAGAAACCTGCTTTTAGGAAGTTATTACATGATTAAACATTTCAAAATATATCTTTATTCAGAATATATATTGGAAAACTGAAAGTGCAATAAGAAAATAGGAAACTGCATTATCTATAAAAAGCAGCAGCAATAGGAACCCAGAGGCAAATCTAGGAAACATAAATTTCAGGAAGCAGGAGTCACAAGGTTCATAATACTTCTGAAACTTTTTTGATAAGAAAAGAAGAAAATCATATTCGTAAGAAAGAGAGAGTTCAAGAGGAGAAGATATATTACTTTTGAAACATTTGAATATATGCAGCTTAGGTACAAGAACTATGTTACAGCTACAAGACAAGAGAAAGCAAGACTGATTTATAACCTACGCTAACTTAACTTATGCTACAATTATAATTTATTGAATGACCACAATTACCTTCCATTTGATGATGAGATGTTACTAAAGCCAGGGAGATATACTATTTATCTTACAAAGCAGAACTCCATAAAGTATGCTGAACTTTTTCTTTTGGCAGATAAAATAAGACATATATCCTGTGCCTATCCCTAGAGCAGTACGCTCCAACGTTCCACTAAACATGACCGAATACATTCAATAAGAAATTATAGATCCCTGACTTGGTATAATACAAATAAGTTTGAGAAGGAGGAACAGGATAACAAAATAATAGAATTACGACATTTTCAGATTTATAGACTTCTC